CTTAGAGATGAAGCCAGTCCTGCGAGATGTCATTACAATCCAGCAATTTGTAAATGTGGCGGCGGCGGATAAAGAAATGGCAGTACGATACGGGATGGTGGCAATGGCGAGATCGCTGATCGGCAAACTTCAGTGGATGACGACGATAAGTCGCGCAGGTCTATCGAAAAGACTGAACGCTGTCTTGAGCCTGCTAAACACATGATCGACATGGGGATTGATTCGAGTTCTGAACAATGTGGTGAGACTCTACTAAAGGCGGCCAATACAGTCGATGAAGTTCAGTAAGCTGACGGGAACACTACAGGTGGAATTTTATGGAGACGCAAGCAAAAAGCATCAATTTACGATGGGACAGTTCCTAATAATTGAAATAGATTCGGAGAAGGTGGCAACATTTCACTGGCAGTCGAGAACGATCGTGAGACTACATAACAACATCTTTGAAAAAGAGATACGCCGCCCGGATAACTAGTGAAGAGTGCGCCAATTGGAATTGGAAAAAAATTGTCGCTGAGGTTGGTCTATGACATAGGTTTGAAAGAGTTACAGTCTTAACCGATAGCCAGTCAGTTAAAGTGACTGTTGATGCCCCTAAGTTCAACAAAGAAGTGAGGCTCTCAAGAAGACATATTGCCACGCTGCGGTCATTGATAGAGTTTAAGGGAATCAAGTTTCATTTTAATCCAAATCAGATGATATTTGCGGTTTTTCTTACTAAGACAATTAGCGGCAAGGACCTGTTGAGTCCTAGAATAGGGAACTTTAAGAAAAATTGATCTGACGTCAGACTACTTCGTCAAAGCTGTTGTAAGCATGTAAGCACCCGTGGCATTCTTCGACAAAGAAGTTGATGAGATACACGATTATGCGGATTCGTCTCCAGGTGAACAGTATGATGCCAGACAGGACGGAAGGTATTCATAGAACAGAACATTGTACCTCGAAAAAGAAAGAGAACAGTGATTAGTAAAACTCAAGATAGATAACGTTTATTAGTAGATAACATTGAATAGATTCTGACAACATAAACTACCGTTTTAGATACCCTATGTTAATGGTAAAAGTGCTGACGTGACCAGTGAACACAAATGGAAAATGAATTGATGTGAGCCTAATTTATGAAGTGATGCAAAAAATTGATTCCAGGATTAGAACACCGGGGGGATGTGGAAAATGATCTATTAGTTATAGACTACCATATACGTGTGTGACGTCAAATAACTTATCTGAAAAGAAAGAAACAGGTTTAGATCTTTACACAAAAAAATAATTCTGATCCATTTTGTTTTAACTTATTAGAAACGTTTCAAAAATACATACATCAAAGTTTTCTAAAAAATTCCATTTTCATGTTTCATGACTCCATTTTGCGAGAAATCCCCAGGTTTGAAAACGAATGGATAGGAACTTTTTTAAGTAGCTCTAGGCTCTAAAACATTCAGATTTTTTAAAATTCTGAATTGGCTTCCTTCTTCTCGAAATTATGATCCAACATTGAGAAAACACACAAAAACTTCTGGTACTGATGTTTTTTGCTAAAACTGTTGTTGACAACAGTGTCGGACTAATTTTTCTATTCGCTCCAGGATCCAACCCGATGTTTTTTTTAATCATTTTCCTTTATTTTCACGATAATGCGACTCGATGCTTGGAAAAGTCGCTCAAGTGTGGGTACAGGGGTTCAGTGCTACAATTTGAACCAAAAAGCTCCATTGTTTATAATAACGGATTGAAACTATTTTCCCACTAGCTCTAGGCGCCAAAACTTTGGGATTTTTAATCCAAACCAATGTTTTTCCCGGAGATGTTGTCCTAGCGTCACAAACTCCAATAAAATTCAGATATCCGGGTTCATTGCTACAGTTAAAATTGGATTTGAACTATTTTCCTAATAACTCTAGGAACCAGCCGATTGAATTCTTGTTCCCGTTTTCTTTTGCGAGATTTCAATCCTAACGTTGGAAAACTCTCAAAATTTCCAGTACTGAATTTCATTGCTGCAATTTGAGAAACATTGCTCAATTTTGCTAAGAAATGAGTGGGTGCTTTTTTGAGTAGCTATGTCCTTCAACACTAAGACTTTTGAAATGGGTACTATCTTTTCCTTCCCAAGATATTACACCGATCGCTGAGAAATTTCCCGAATTTTGAATGCCGATGTACAAAACTAAAGTTTGGGACTAAATTTTTTAATTTCGGTTAAAAAAAGGATCGGAAATGTTTTTCTAGTAGCTGCAGGATCCAACACGATGATTTTTTTTCAATCGCTTGTTTTTCCTTCCCGATTTAGTGACCTAAGGGTCAATAAAGTCTCCAAATTTTGGTTTTCGTAGTTCATTGCTAATTTGAGGCAAAACCTACATTTCTATTAAAACTGTATCGGACCTTTTTTTCTAGTAGCTCTAAGATCCATCATGATGGCATTCTTTCCAAATATTTTTTATTTTCCTTTCGCGAGATTGCGACCCAAGCATCGCAAATTTTTCAAAATTCCCGGTACGTTGTTTAATTGCTACAATTTGGGAAAAATTCTTCAATATTGATAGGAAATGGGTTTGAATTTTTTTGAGTAGCTATAGTCTTCAACGCTGGTCAACATAATTATTTGTCAAAAAAATTGTTTACGGGAAAAAGTAAACTTCTCATTTATAAGTTAACTTGCTCTTGCAATTGAAAGTAACAGATCCAAAACAATTTTAACCAGGCTTCTCGTATCAGGATTTAACCCTGACGGCTTTTTTATTTCCACGAAACATTGGTTGAAAAAATTATCGAATCAGCGAAACTTTTTTCAAATTTTGTTTTTTAATTTTATCGCCACACTCTATGTAAAGAACTCAGTGATAAATTTGCGTCCAATTACGGTTTAAAACCAAAAAAACTACCCTCAGTTTTATTTAGAATAGTGTCAGATCTGCGCTTACTCGACGCTTGCGTGGTGGTTAAGTAAATTGAAGTCGCCAATTGAACAAATGAAAGCAAATGTTTAAAACCTCTTGTATAGATCGACAAAAAGTACACATATTGACAAAACAATCGATGAAAAGTAGCTGTTTTAAACTTAAACATAAACAAAACGAAAGAAAACAAAAATTATGAGAGAAAAACCTTGCTAAGGTTCCGGAATCGAGCCCTTAAGAATCAACCGTGAAAGCGTTTGAACAATAGTTACTTGATATTTTTTAAAAACTAGCAACCTAAAAACCAAAGACAAAGTTGATAAGTCAATGCAAAATAAAACCAGTCTAGTGGTCCAGTCACAGCTGGAGGTACTATTACAAAAATATGTATCAAAGTTTCCAAAATTTCAAAAATTGAAAAATTCATGGCTGATTATTTATTTACTAAGATAACATTTTTGCGAAGGAGATCAGTAAAACATCTCTCCTTGATTAATTTCTGAATTTTAAAACAGGTTGTTTTGAGAAAATGGGACAAAATGTCAGCTATGGGACAAAATATCCGCTATTGGTTGTTTACCAGATCAAAACTGTCAGTGTTTCAAAAATTCTTGACTTTTTCAAGTCCAAATTGTTTTTCTAAAATTGGCCTAGCCTAGTTGCTGAGTAAGAAAAAATGCATGGCATCTGTTCCTTCGATCGGCCGACTTATCTTAGATTCGTCAGGCTAATTTTCGAGAAAAAATTAATTTCTAACAAACAGGAAAACAATCAAAGTTTTGACGTTTTCTATACCGTACGTTTTGTTCCTTCGAATCTTAGGGCACAATTGATTGTGCAGAGCTAGTACGTAAAACCTTTTCTTTTGAATCCTCAATTTCTGATTTGGCAGTATGGCTTTCGATAAGTCAATTTACCGAAAAAAAAATCAGCAAACTTCAAAAATGTTAAATTTTATGCGGCAAAGGAGTTTCTTTGATTGAAGGGGGGATTTCAGAATTTTGGCAGGTAATTTTGCAGAAAAAGAAAACAGCCAATCAAAGATTAGAAAAGTGTATTGAACGCAAGTACGCTTAAAAACAAGCTGACTTTGTTGAATCCTAACTTGTTGACTTTCAAAATAAAAAAAACAGATGGCCTTTAAGCTCTTTCAATTTCTAGAAAGATTTACCACTGGCTCTTTTTTAGTAACATTAAACCAACTTGAAAAAACTGGATCAACAGGCAAAGTTTTCATTCCGCTGGAAATCTAAGAATTAAATTCCAATTTCGAAACTAGAATTCGTTCACGTTTATTCGAGCCACTTCCACGTTCATGAGTGCTATTTATGTCATTTTCATCAGATGAATTTCAATTGAACTCAAAAGTTCAAATGTACCTAAGTGCATCACAAAGGCATCAATATGAATAAAGGCACCTCTGGAGTTATGAGCATTTTAAGTGACGACTGAAAAAAAAAATCAGCAAGACCATAAGAGTATTCACTACGCTCAATATTCTTAACCATTTTCGAAGAAACTATCAACAGTTCAAAAACTGGACATTTTCTAAAGCCATAACTACTTTCGACAAAAACAAGGGAGTAGTAGCTTATGCAGGGGGGGTCCCAAGAACATTTTTCTACGATTTATCTTAATGAGCTAATGATTTAATGAGTTAATATCAGATTTAATTGGGTAATTTATGAAAAAAAAGCCAAAACATGGGTCGAAAATTTCCCCACTGAAAAATTTGAATGCCGTCGGGCACAGTAAAAAGATACTTGCGGAATATGACGCATATAGCGGAGTAGCCGGTCTTTCCATTGATCTTTCAACCACTTTTGCACCAATATTTGCGACTTAGTTCGGAAGTGGACTTCGTATTAAGACACTACGCACCGCTTGTGAAACGTTACGAAAAATGATCACATATGAGGTACTTTTTTTTCATTTTTGAGCTGAGGTCATTGAAATATTTCAAATGGTATCAATCAGATATTCCGTTTTTTTTATTCAAAGGTCGGAACATTAACATTAATAGCTTCGGAACGGCTTCTTAACAGCTTTCACAAGGAAACTATTTAAATTGTGAATATTGTTTGCTTCTGGAAGACATGATAGGTAATCTTAAATTTATAGTTGACTTCATCTTATATACACAGATCATGCTTAATAAAATGTCGAATTTCATATCAAAAGATTCAGGATTACACGAGGAAGTGAAATATAATAAAGCAAGCTATCTAACACTGAAAAGATTATCCATCATATACATCGTAAGAAATGAATTAAGTTACCATTCTGGAATAAACAGATACCACTGATAAGAATTGAATTTTTTGCAGACAGGGAAATTCTGTTGTTGATTTGATTCAATTGAACATTTCCTATTTCATTTTCTAGATTTCATCATGAATTAGGCCCTGGGTTGTAAGTGAACAATTACTTCCTTTGATATAAATGCACAAATGTTGTCTTCTCAATTTCTTTCCAACAAGCGAACTTTGCTCTGCAATTGTTATTGCTACTCAGATTTACCAGTACTATGTAAACCTACTTGTCATATTTCACACTTGCATTCAGTCCAATCGAGTTTGAAGATTTACTTGTTTAATTCTGACTTGAATAGTTACATTTAATGTTCAATTATCTGCGAGTATTGTGAAATAGTTCTCGTGTTCATTTCATCTGTTGGCCTCACTGTTGGTATCATTTAGGCTCTGTGGGAGATGGACTCTACGTTCTGTGCTACTCCTGTGCGACCACAATCTGCTTGTCTCCGAACACTGGGTTCTGGGCAGTGGAGAGAATGGTGACGACGTAGAGGGAGACGAGCAGCACCAGCACTAGGAAGGCCAGTCCCACCACTCCCCCCTTGCCCAGTCTGTCGTCACAGTCCACACCGTCTGAGAAGCCAGTCCTCAATGCTGGCGCCTCTCCAGCTGTCCCGTTGAAGATGAGATTCACGTCAAACTACAAAGCGGGCAAGTGAACAAACACAACACAGCACAACACACTCATACATCGGCTACTCACCTACAATACCATCCTTTGTATATCAAACATAATCACACAACACACTCAGACAACAGCTACTCTCCTACAAAACCATCCTTTGTATATCACAAACATAATCACTCATACAATACACTCATACAACAGCTACTCTCCTACAAAACCATCCTTCGTTTATCACAAACATAATCACACAACACACTCATACAACAGCTACTCTCCTACAATACCATCCTTTGTATATCACAAACATAATCACTCATACAATACACTCATACAACAGCTACTCTCCTACAATACCATCCTTTGTATATCACAAACATAATCACACAACACACTCATACAACAGCTACTCTCCTACAATACCATCCTTCGTTTATCACAAACATAATCACACAACACACTCATACAACAGCTACTCTCCTACAATACCATCCTTCGTTTATCACAAACATAATCACACAACACACTCATACAACAGCTACTCTCCTACAATACCATCCTTCGTTTATCACAAACATAATCACAACACACTCATACAACAGCTACTCTCCTACAATACCATCCTTCGTATATCATAAACATAATCACACAACACACTCATAAAACAGCTACTCTCCTACAATACCATCCTTCGTATATCACAAACATAATCACACAACACACTCATACAACAGCTACTCTCCTACAATACCATCCTTCGTATATCACAAACATAATCACACAACACACTCCTACGACATCTACTCTCCTACAATACCATCCTTTGTATATCACAAACATAATCACTCATACAACAGCTACTCTCCTACAATACCATCCTTCGTATCACAAACATAATCACACAACACACTCATACAACAGCTACTCTCCTACAATACCATCCGTCGTTTATCACAAACATAATCACACAACACACTCCTACGACATCTACTCTCCTACAATACCATCCTTTGTATATCACAAACATAATCACTCATACAACAGCTACTCTCCTACAATACCATCCTTCGTATATCACAAACATAATCACACAACACACTCATACAACAGCTACTCTCCTACAATACCATCCTTCGTATATCACAAACATAATCACACAACACACTCCTACGACATCTACTCTCCTACAATACCATCCTTTGTATATCACAAACATAATCACTCATACAACAGCTACTCTCCTACAATACCATCCTTCGTATATCACAAACATAATCACTCATACAACAGCTACTCTCCTACAATACCATCCTTCGTTTATCACAAACATAATCACACAACACACTCATACAACAGCTACTCTCCTACAATACCATCCTTCGTATATCACAAACATAATCACACAACACACTCCTACGACATCTACTCTCCTACAAAACCATCCTTTGTATATCACAAACATAATCACTCATACAACAGCTACTCTCCTACAATACCATCCTTCGTATATCACAAACATAATCACACAACACACTCCTACGACATCTACTCTCCTACAATACCATCCTTTGTATATCACAAACATAATCACTCATACAACAGCTACTCTCCTACAATACCATCCTTCGTATATCACAAACATAATCACTCATACAACAGCTACTCTCCTACAATACCATCCTTCGTTTATCACAAACATAATCACACAACACACTCATACAACAGCTACTCTCCTACAATACCATCCTTCGTTTATCACAAACATAATCACACAACACACTCATACAACAGCTACTCTCCTACAATACCATCCTTCGTATATCACAAACATAATCACACAACACACTCATACAACAGCTACTCTCCTACAATACCATCCTTCGTATATCACAAATATAATCACACAACACACTCATACAACAGCTACTCTCCTACAATACCATCCTTCGTATATCACAAACATAATCACACAACACACTCCGACGACATCTACTCTCCTACAATACCATCCTTCGTATATCACAAACATAATCACTCATACAACAGCTACTCTCCTACAATACCATCCTTTGTATATCACAAACATAATCACTCATACAACAGCTACTCTCCTACAATACCATCTTTCGTATATCACAAACATAATCACTCATACAACAGCTACTCTCCTACAATACCATCCTTCGTATATCACAAACATAATCACTCATACAACAGCTACTCTCCTACAATACCATCCTTTGTATATCACAAACATAATCACTCATACAACAGCTACTCTCCTACAATACCATCTTTCGTATATCACAAACATAATCTAGTCCAAATAGCTAACTTCTACTCTCTACTTTTTGGGAACCAACTTTCAGAACCTAAACTAAGCTTTCAAAGCCCCCTTCTGCTAAATTAAGCTGGCAATTCTTTTTTTGAAGAGACATGATGCAAAATGTGATTCCAATTGCCTCATACGGGAAAATAATTTTGAGAAAACTAGAGAGAACACGAGAAATCCGCGGTTTGTGGACAGAGCCAAGCCCACCTGTAGATTCTGGAAGAGAAGCGAGGCCGATCGCCCTTTGATGTCATCCCTGGGTTGCATGGGCCAGATGTCTGGCGACTGACATGCGTAGGACTTGTCTCTTGGGGCGGCTATGTACCCGTTAGTCAGAGGATAGGAGTGCTCTTTGGAGCTGAACGTGAAAGAGAGTGTGAGATTCTCTGCATACCAGTACTTGAACCACTTGTTGTTCTCGGAGGGTCCGAATCTCCAGGTGTCAATCACCATGCTACACATCGAAAAACATTCATACAATTGAAAAGAGCCATCAACAAGACAATGCTCAAACGTTTCTGTCATTAAGTGTCTTGATTTTACTTAGACATTATCACTGTGTCATTCTAAAAGTGCTGGTTTAAAAAGACATTATCACTTATGATTATGATGTGTCATAAAGTGTCTTGCTTTTACTTAGACATTATCACTATGTCATTCTAAGAATGCCGGTTTAAAAATTACAAGTGAGAATGCTATACCTTATCTGAATATTGGAGATGCCCAGCGTATCAATTGTCTCATTGGTCTTCATCGTTACCCTAAAATGCAGAAGATTCGTTCGCCCCTTGATCAACTAGCACGACAAAATGAGTAATTAAAATTTAAGTTGAACAAATCCACTTGAAAATCAATAACAACGTGGCAATAATTTTTGGTCGCTTGTGTTAAACGAGATTTAAAATAAACCGCTTAAACTACAATGAGAGATAGAATTTTTTAAAAAGCTTTCGGAAAGTAAACATTGCCGACAGGCAGTGGGGAAATTGCCAAAAAAACTAAATGAAACTGGAAAATCTGAAAATTGAAATCCCCGTTGTAACTAAAAGTACGTCAGTAATTTTGGAGCCATTTGCAAAGTTTGAGAATTTGAAATGAAGTTCAGCAGAAACGCAAAGCCAAAGTGTCGAAGACCATTTTCTCAAACCGAAGAAGAGAGATGAATTGAAAAAGTGATTTCAGTTTGATCATTGACACCTAAATGTTTTTACTAATACGTAAAGGTTCACTTCTCTCACTGACACTTAAGACACAGGCTAACTGGCAATTCGCAAAAACAGTCAAAATGCAATCGAAGGAGCGGCGGTGAAAATGTTTCAGAAAACCATCGACTCATCCAACAAAATTGGAACAACGTCTCAAATAAAAATTTATTTAATCATTTCATAGACCTCAGCATTTGAAACACTTGCTCTGCATTTAGCCCATATAGCTTGTTATAGAGTATTTCTATCGTGTGGTTCCTGTATAAGGAATCCCTATCCGTGCACATTCACGTTCCGAGTTGCTCTAACTTCCGAGCTGAGTTATATAGCCAGATAAGGCAATCAAGGTATATTATTAGTTACGACTGAATCTTAATAAATAATCTGACGACAATTAGAGCACGCATAACAAATCGTGACATACACGTCACTAGTATGACCTGAAGGTCGCAGTCTATTGCGTAGCCTTCAAGGCCGAATATAAATAATGCTCCATAAGTAACTTACTATGGCATTTATAAATAGTATAACGGATGTAAAAATATATAATCAGGACGGATAATATTTCCCCGTTTGTAAGAAAAAGAGTTTTTAGTTTTGTTGCTGAGTTTATTCTATTGACATATCCTCTCTTTGTCTCGTCTCTTGAACATTAGTTTGTTCTCTGGAACTTATTTCGCCACCCTCCTCGTTTTTGTTGGTGTCTCTTTCCGTTGTTACTTTTTCGACCCTGCTGGAGTCACTGCTCGTGGCAATGCTTATCAACTCGGTGGTCTTTGGTTTTTCTATTGTCTTTAAAAACTGGAGGCACGCCACCACTTGTTCTTTCTTCTCACTCTCCTTCTCTTTTGTGATTGTTCCCATCAATGCTCTCAAGAGAGATTGCTTCTTGGCTTGGTGTTGGTTGTGGGGTTTGCTTCTTCTTTATCCCCACCTGCATTATTGGTATCGCATTAGCAAAATTCGAGGACAGTGTGCTGGTTCTTGCCCGAGTTGACGTTCTGGTTGGTGGGGGTGTTTTCTGGGTATCCCACTTTTACTTGTTTGATTCATGAATTCCCTCTTCCCTTGAGGTGAAAGATACTTCGTAGTCCAAGGCTGAGGATGCAGAGATATTGAACTGTATACCCCTTGCTTTTGGTAGCCCTCCCGTTCTTCTTCCGTGTTGTCGTGTAGCTGTTTTGTGGTCGTTGCCTGTTATTGGTCGTGTGCCCGTTGGTCTTCGGTGTCCTCGGCCTCTTTTTGTTTCGTTGTTGCTGATTCGATTGGTTTTTCTTTTGCGCTGGTCTTTTTGTATTGCCCCCCCCCCCTGTTTCTATAAACATGGGATGTCTTGGTGCCTCCGGATTTTCAATGTCTAAAAACCGGTAACTCTTGTTATAAATTGCGGACTTATACGCATCGAAGTCACTCAGTTGCGTTGGTCTACAGTAACAATACAGTTTTGAACTTGGGACGAATGCAAAACCACTAGTTCATAATAGCCTAGGCTGTTTCCCGAACGTTTGGACCCATGCTGTATGCGGCGTAGAAGTTAGAATGTGTCTTGTATTTCTATTGAAATTGTTTGATGTTCTTTACCTTTTGCGCTATCCTCACCGTCTTTCGCACTATTTTTTCTCTCAAATTTTTGTCCGGTGTTGTTTCTACTTTTCCAGCATATTTCGAATACCTAGTTTCAATTTTTTAAGCTGCGCACCTTGTTTCTCCGTCATGTCTCTGTCGAGGTTGATTATCTCCAGATGTGTTTCTCAAATTTCTCGACTACGATTGTTTACGACCCCCTCTTCTGAACATGCGCTCATGTTAAGTATTTGTTCGTTCTCGTGATAGTGGCGGTCTCTCGAGTCTCTTTTTGTCTAAACACTTTGCTTATTAAAAATTTCCAGCTTAAGTTATTTTGGTTACTTGTAGTGGCTAAGTTTGATGTTATTGTGTTGGGTTTCTTACCCATGTGCATTTCAAACGGTGAAAACTTGGTTCCAGGAGGTGGGTTTATTCTTAGTGTTTTGATTAGCTGCGCTACGTCCGATGGCAATTTATAAGGTGAGTTGTTTGGATCAATTATCATTACACCTAATCGTGTTTTGAGAGTCTATGTTAGCCTTTCGACAAGTCCTATTACTCTGTGATAATCTACTGGTGCAAAAAGTAGTTTGATATTGTTATATTTGCAGTAGACTTGGAATTTTTTAGCTGGAAATTTTTGTGCTTGATCACATCTAATTTGCCTGGCAACCCCTTTATTTATGTATCTTTGCATGGATTTGATGGCCGTGTCCACCGTAGTATTTGTGACTACCTTAGTAGTTTGGTCTTTCGAAAATCTATCAATTGCAACAAGTAGATAAGCGTCTTTGTTTAGTTCATCTGGCATCGGACGACAAAATCTAATTCGACTTCCTCGTTCGGTTCTACCATTTTTTCATTCCGCATGGTGCTTTTTTTCCTATTACCGACTTAAGATTTTCACCTTATTCTCTGCATTGTTTGCAGTCCTGTCCCAATGCGACTATTCCTCTGAACAAGCGGGAACCAGATGTCTTCCGCGATATGTAGCATCGCATCTGTCCCTTGGTGTGTCAGGTGCACGGTATCCAGTACCGTGTCTCGCAATTGGGTTGGAATCACCACTCGGTCATCAATTATCAGGCATTCGTCTCGCATTAGCCGCTTCTTTATGTTGCAGAAGAAGGTGCCGTAGGCTTGTTTAATAGAACCCCGATCCTTTTCTTTGATAAAGTGCATCAAGGGTCTGAGGTATTTGTCCCGCCTGGATGCTGGCGCGATGAACCTGTGTCCCAGTGCCTTGCTGAGTTTCCTTCTGTACAATGGGGCATCATCGTCCTCTGTCATAGTCCCCTGCGCCGTTGTCTGTTTGGGCGATGTTTCTGTGTCTATCGATAACACCAGTTGTTGCGTCTCTATTTCTTGACTTCTACGTGACACGCTTATTTCGGGTTCGATGGGGGTTAAATGCAAATCTGTTTTTCAAATGTCGCTGTTTTGAAAATAATTTATTATAAATAATTTAATATGCAAGCGATTATAAAATCTTTTGAATTGGTGAAAAAGCGCTTCAAGCTAAAAATTTTATTAGCCTTTTGCTATTCATGTAAAATTTTAGATTTGCAAAAAGAATTTAACGTCTCAAAACCAATTTATTGCAGACGTCAAATTTGCTTTTGTCGTCTAATTTCCTAGCCACCAATAATTTCGGCCTTTCAAAAAGGTTTCATAAAGTTTACATTAACGTTTTAAAAAACATTTATAATAAATATTTTGATATGCAATGGGATTATAAACTCTTTGTTTTGGTGAAAGTTGGCTTCAAGCAATAAATTTTGTTAGTCCTTTGCTATTCGTCCAAAATGCTAGATTTGCAAAACGAATTTAACGTCTAAATTCCGTTTTACTGGACCCGTCTAATTTGCTTGTCGTCTAATTTCTAACCACCATATTTTCAGCTTTACACATCAAAAAATGCAATGCTCCAGTCGACAATTGGCCAGGATAACAAATAAGTTCGCGGAATTGCAAATTAACAAAAAAGCGCGTGGTTAATCTAAATTATTAAGGCTGTCGATAGTTAAAGCTATTTTATACCACCACCAGGCGTTACCAAATTCCAATTTAATTTAGTCAATTTTGAAAACATTCGCTGGCTCTTTATGGCTCAGAGAATTGAATGGAGCAAAAAAAAGAAAATAGATGATTGTATAACAAAAATAAAGCCTTTTACGTGAAGCTTGTGTTGCCGGTGGGGCATTTGTCGCCAGTCATATCGGTGTACCAGCCGCTGATATTCTGGGGCTTGGGCTGTTTTCCATCTTTGCTTTTCCATTCATTTCCCAGAGCGAGAAAATAGATTTTATCGCAGTTCATCAGGAAACAGTTATTCATGATGTAGATTGATTCATTTGAGGCCCTCGGGGCAGCCGATCGACGCTTGATCACATGTCTGGGTTCTACCTGGCTCACTGCAGCTTTGAATGTTGACCGAATAACATACACCGTATTTTCATCACTCTTGGCAAGGCTTCCCAGAGTTGATTTCAGCTTCAGATCTAATCAAATTAAAGAACATAGCCAAGAGACAGTTGGAAACCTGTCAATGAAATCACAGAAACCCAAAAAGACTATCGATTTTTTTAAAAACATATCAATTTACGAAGAAAAAACTATGACTCTTTGTGATTGACTTCTTTTATTGATAAAAATTAACCCGATTAGAAAAAACTGGGTTAACGGGTAATTTTTTTTATTCCTCTCGTAAATACCTAGCATGACAAAATAACCTACAGAGAAGGAGGCAAAAGTCGCAGAAAAATGTCGCAACAAATGAACTACCGAAACTTCCAACTTTTTCTCTGGATTTTAACTCAATTAAAATTCAAAACATTCATTCACAAATTGATTGAGCTTACCAATGTCGTTGGCTGCGTTCTCTGAATTTCTGAAACAAAATGAACAATTTGTTACCTGTCTATTAGCACCTGTTTATGAGATTCTGCTTTATTATTGCCTGGAAAAATCAACATGTCCGTTATTATATAGATTAACCAAACAAAAAAACATCATTTTTTTCCGACAGATGCGACTTGTACTCAAGGACACGAATTGAAATGGAGGCAAAAATTGGAAAATGTATTGAGGTGTGAATTATATTTGGCGCCCAATGAAGGATAGTAACCGATCAACTGAGAGTGGAATGTATCGTGTGTCACACAAGGGCGTCTTCTGCCCCCCACCCCCACTCCCCTTGTAGCTCATCAGTCGCTGCCAATCCGCCTTCATCAGCACACCCTGAATTATCACAAATTAACCTCTTGTTTCGTCCCAACACAACTTCTTCAAAACATGAACAAAATAAAGGAAAGGACACGCTCCCTCCAAAAGGGTGGCTTTCAATCTGCCCATCGCTCATCCGCTTGTCACTATTTTCAATTGAATTTGTTAAATATTTGTAATGATCAAATCAAAACAAATACAAGAGAAACAAACACAATATATCTTTCTTTAGGAACAATTTTATCCACCAGAGAAAGGAGCACCATACGAGATATTCAAACTATTGCTCAGAACTGCTATTAGGTCCGTGGTTCTGACCGATGCAATTTTTTGGCATTTTTCGCGGAGTATTGCTTAATACAACGCAAACAAATTACGGTGAAGCTCGAACCACAGACCTTCCGACAGAGAACAGGTAACTTACAGCCAGTCCCGCTCGCAAAAAAATGAACTGAAAAATACTCATTCAGAAAATTAATGGTATCATATAATTTTTGAAGCACTATGATTGCTCGTTTGTTAGGGATTTTGTTCATCATTTTGCGTATGACAGTTGAAAGTTCTGAACTGCTTCGGTTAACTTTGAAGTCATAAAACTTAGATTGTTCAGCGCTAGCGAGCTCTCTATGCTAGAATTTATACCTTCAGAGACGGCATGAGGGAATTTTGTTGAGCCAGAGAAGCCAGGTCATCCAGGGAAATCTAAAAGACAACAACCACGTACAGAAAAGGGAAAGATACAATTCGAAAGGCGTACATGGCCTTCACAAAGCATGAGCAAACGCACTGCATGCTTCCATAATAGAGCTGCGACAAATGAGTGTTATTTCAAACTACAATTTGATACTTTTGAAAGCAACCATTTATGATTTATTATTTGGCCAAACTACGTCAACTTAACTGTGGCTTTCTTTATTTGTTTCGACAACAATCAATTTGACTTGCAAAGCAACTAACTTGCGTATCGAAAACAACAACAGCACATTTTCCGCATTGGGGCGCGATGACTTTGTGGTTGAAATCTTCATCCGACAGTTGATCTCCTAGTGTGAACTTGGGCATATTCTGGGCACACTGCTCGCTGAAACAATCACAATAATGAGAGTACTCCAATTAGTCGCATACAGTTCAAAAGTAGAGCCTAAAGCTTAACAAACCTTGCGAATAAATGTAAACAGCCAACATTAGAAAAATGAAGGAGAGTTTCTAGAATTGGTTATTATATTCTTTATTTTGGATGTGGGTTTTTGGGTGCAGGCAACATTGTTTCGGTAGCATATCCCACTATACCCATCAGATAATGATGGGTTGTATAATTCGGTCTGTTTCTACACCGCCTCTTTTATATCTAGGGGGTAACAAATGTCTGGTATAAAGAATGAGGACATCCGGGTGGATAATAAGAGAGATGCAATATATTTTTAACTTTACGAATACCTATCAACACAAATACAAAAAGTCATCTACGTATAAAATCAGGTAAAATCGAATGAGTTTTGCTGTCCAGAATATCATCCAGCAAACTCATCGGAGAGTCTATCAGCGAAGACTCTAAGCCATCATTATCTTCATTTTTAGTGACGTCCAATAGTAAGAAGCAGTTGCTATTGTTGCTGCTTTCATTTTTCGGATGCGCCTTACTTTTTTCTAAGTGCACAATTAAGTCACTAGACTCGGAAGTGTTTGTATTTCCAGTTACGCATGATTTCTTTTCTTTAGCAGATTTGCTGTCTGCTTTTGCAAATTTGGGAGAAATGTTCAAATTTCTAGTTAGTTTAAAGCTTTGAATGCGCTGAGTATTCGTAGGTTGTGATGGTAAGTCGTGATTTTTCTTGGAAGCGTTCGTGATATGCCTGAATAAGCAATTAGACCCACGCGGACAAAACTTGTTTTGTAGAAACTCTTGGCACACAGAAAATCTATTCGACCGTGAAATATGGCTGTAACTGCAATTAGGCTTAGTGCAACTGCCTTGTAAGAAAAACTTGCAAACTTCTGTTTTTCGTGAATCGGGTCTCTTCCTTGCCAAGATTTTGTTTTTGTAATGATTACACAAACTTGATTCAATTCTGTTGTCTTTTCTAAATACGGACATGCTCGTTTTCGCAGCAGCATTTCTTGAAAATCTCATTGTTTAAAATATACACAAAACAGGAGACTGAAAAAAAAAAGATTAGAAGAATTAGATCTACAAGGCTAAATTAGTTCTACCGATTGTATAGCAGTAGTAGATAATTAAATCTACTTCTAGCGGAGACCGCCCTACTAGCATCTGTGTCGATAAGCATGTTCATGTAAACAATTGTAGTGTTAATCCCGCCACTTTGACGCACGTGTCAAAAACATTACTTATAACATTAAGCCATTCCAGTAAGCAGGGTGTCGGCAAAAGACTTCAACAACCTTCACTCAACGTCTACGACCAAGCCTACAGCGACCTGCTCAGCACCAACCAATTAACAAGCATATTCAGCCAGCCGAACAAATAATCACAACAACAGCTCCAACATTCAAGGGAAACTACAGCAACATCAGCCTGGACACAAGGAGCCACGAAAAGATCTTTGCCCGGATAAAAGCAGAAGATTTATTTCTCAAGAGAAACTGGTTATTAACAACTAAGCATCAAATATATACAACAAAACCCTCTGAGAGGACAGCCAACGAACCCACATGGGTTGCCCACGACTGCCCTTTACACAAAATCGACATGAGCACACTTAACATTCAATTTATTAGCCCGTAACAGAAACAATTAAATAAGAAATTGAATAAGTTAAAAGTATTTTGGTAATAATTATTCAGGTTAGACCTAATTTTCATTTTCTCGCAATTGCCGGCCGTCTGAGCAATCCGATCAAGTATGGTTTAGTTTATGTCACAAGATAAAACTTTCCCCAAAACTCGGAAGTTACCAACACCTGATAGCGATGAACCACAAGGAACAATTTCATCATGCCAGAGATCTACAACTCTGCTTCAACTACCTCCGCCACCTCAAGTTTGCCGATCAACTCAGACATGTAGGACAGATGGATGCACCAAGAAACACCACACTCTACTACACATCAAATGCAACTCAACAAGATGTAAAGATACTACAATTAGAAACGCCAACTAACACGATGATGCATCGAATTGCACCTTCAGCTCAAAAAATGGAAATCGACTCGCCACATCCCTACATTGCCAATGACGATTTCCCATGACAATCAAGTAGTACATGCCTTAGGTTTGACTGAAACCGGATCTCAAGTTAAACTACTTGATTCAGCTTAATCAAGCGCTGACTTCATACGACACCGCTTTTGACAAGAAGACTATAACAATTAGACCCAACAAGCATCGACTGCAGATTTTTCAACTGAACGACATCGATTTTGACCCTGAGCTTGTCAACGCCATCTGCCCAAGGAATTAAGTTTTCATTTGATCAAATTTTCATTGGAACACTGCCTTCAAAGGAAACTGGACTCATCATAAGATGCGACTTCGCCGAGCTAGTGACACCAACAGAAGCTATCTCATTAGGACATTATATACCGATCGGATGGAAAACTCCTTTAGGATGGCTTTTAGGACACAATGCAGCTAAACAACGACGCCAACACCATTCACTTCAAATCGGACAGTTTGCTCTTTCGACGAGAAGTCGAATAGATGAAGATGGAAGCCGAACGAATTTCAGTGCACAAACGCAGCCGTCTTGGACCCGTCACCTAACCAATGGACACTAAGTTGGAATGCTTTGGAAACGCGACCGACATTTGCCAAACAACCGATGGCTTGCCAACAAGTATATCCAGTCTTCTACAGCGAATACGAGGAAACCCGGCCATGAAAGCCAAATACCAGGAGGACATCAACACGGAATTTCAGAAAGGGTTCATCATCATCGAAGTAGATAAGCCACGGACAACGCGACAGGAAAAAAGTATTCGCCTCACATTGGAGGCTCTTGGAAAAGATTGGTGGCAAACATGTTAAGGGTCTTGTGCCTAGTGTTGGTCTTAGGCGGACAAAAGTTTATTTTGAAAACCAGCTCCCATCAACAGCAACTTCATCAAGGGCAACAGGCCAAAAAGCAGCAGAAGCTCAGACGATTCACCATCAGACCCATCAATTTTTAAATTGATTTCGAACAACTCTGACTACGACTACTACTATTGACGACAACCGACTTGCCTTTTACACAACCGACTTTATTTAAAACCTGCATGTGGGCACGGCTATGTTTCCGCCACTTTGACGCACATGTCAAAATTATTACTCATAACATTGAAAACTTGACAGAAATTAAAAAGACAAAACCAATCATCTCAGCAAACAGGTCCAGACATTCAGCTAAGTAACTTTTTTGTTTTTCATGGACTTTAGACTTTATGAAACGACCCATGTTCGGAAATGTTTCGGATTTGGATTGTACTTAGGATTCGGTACGGTTTACTGTCCCCCAACCTTCACTGTCCCCCTAAAAATTCTCCTGCCTTTATTAAAACTCATGTTGCCTTTAGTGAACTAGTCCAGGACAAGTTTGAAGACTATTCTTTTGATAACTCCAATTTGCTTAATGACCAGCGTAAATTTGGCCGAATTTTTAATAAGAAGAAAGTGATATTTTACTTTCCCTAAAAGTGATTTCAGAGATTATGAGAATTTTGGCCAAATTTATTATGCTCCGATTGCACACAGAATTGAAGCAATTATCGCATGCTAATCAGCACACATGCTAATCGCTACGCTGTATTTTCTAGCCGATAGTTTTATCGTATCAGTGGAAAGAACAAATTTTTAAAAATATATATAAAAACCGATAAAAAAAAACAATAATGCAAATCATTTGGTGCGCAAGTAAAATACATCAATTATTCCAAAGTACTTAGAGACTAGTTGGCAAATAATACGAGCGAAGAAAATAACACGAGCGAACGTGAAAACTAAAAAAGAAATGCATTCCGCTAAAAAAAAAACTCTGTTCATGAAATGTTTGACAGTCTGGGAGTCTTATGCAGTAAGCGGACCAAAAACCAAAATTGAAACAAATTTAAAACTAAAACTGGGAATTAGCCAATCATATTCCGGCAGCCAGTCAGGCATTTTGATACACACTAAGGCAGATAAGTTTACATGTAAAATGGCTTCACCTAAACCACATTGAGCAACCTACGCATTTGTTCGCGTGATCACGAAAAAAACTTACAATCATCGCGAAAAAAGCTCTAGATGGATCTATTCATGAGCCTATGAGCTCTCTAGTTTTAAATTTGCAAAACACGCAAAAATTGCACCCTTTGGCGTGCCCCTTGATCTTCCTTTGTAAGTTATGTAATAAGAGGTTTAATTGTATGTTGATAAGGAGTTTCCAATATAACTCAATATAGACCGTTCTCACTATTTTCTTTTTTGGGCCGTTTTGTTCATAAGACCCTATCTGGTGACAGAGGTTTGGAGACCAGGTTTTAAATTACAGCAAGTGCGAGTTTGAGTTTCACAAGAAGAGAACCAATCTTTTAGAAGACCAACGTATCTAAAACTGACGCATTATTGATTGACAGACTTTAAAAAGACGCTTTCTTGTGCCAAGCTTCCCTAATTAAGTCAATTATTTCACAATTTGTCAACAAAACTATCAACTTCAAAAACACAACAGTCTAAATTAGCGGCAAACAAAGATTTACGCACACAATAACACTCGTGTTGAATTGAAACGCAGCGGAGCAAGCGGTCGCTAATCGCCAATGCCGCGTTTGAAGTTAGCTATCAAACTTTATAATTGTTCTGATTTTGCTAAAAAACCAGTCTGCTAAAAAACCGGTCTGCTAAAATCCCTAGCACCGTGATGTATATTTGATTGACAGACTCAAAAAGACGCTGAGTCTGGGGCCAAGCTTCCCCAATTAAGACCATTATCTCACAATTTGTCAACAAAACTATCGGGGAGGATTCTCATGCTTGAAGGGCCGAATGCTTGAAAAATTTCAACCAATCAAAATCGCTAAGCGTTTCTATTGGTATAATGCCTTTCTCACAGAATCGAAGTCAATATTAACAGAAAATGTATAAAATCAGTGGAAAATAATC